CCTTAGGTGTACATGGCTGGCGCCTTAGCTGGTTGAGCCACAGGCGCCGAGCCGAGGAGCCTTTTAAGTGTTTGTCTTTTTTCTAATAGGCTTTGTTAGGGTATAGGAAAGCTACTGATTGTATTTGCAGAAGCAACACACAAAACTTGCTAAACTCTTTAAATAGCTTCAGTAATTTTCTAAGCAGACAATTATATCACTTATGAATAATGACAGTTTTATCTGTTCCTTCCCTATATTTATACCTTGTATTTATTTTTCTTGTCTAATTGTCTTTTTTTTTTTGGAGAGAAAGAGTCTCACTTTGTTACCCTGGATAGTGTGCCTTGGCATTGTAGCTCACAGCAACCTCAAACTCTTGGGCTCAAGTGATCCTCTCTTCTCTGTCTCCCAAGTAGCTGGGACTACAGATGTCCTCCATGACACCATGTTATTTTTAGAGATGGGGTCTCGCTCTTGCTCAGGCTGGTAGTCAACTTGTGAGCTCAAGCAATCCGCTGGCCTCAACCTCCCAGAGTGTTAGGATTACAGGCATGAGTCACTGTGCCCGGCCTGTCTTATTGTCCTAACTAGTTCTTCCAGGCAAATGCTGGAGAATAATAGTGAGAACACACATCTTTCTCCTGTTCCTTGTTTTCAGGAAAAAACTTCTAGCTTGCAAGGAAAGCTTTCAGAGAAGGTTTATGTTTTGGCAAGACTCTCCTGACTGCTCCAAGGTGAAGGCATACAAGGGATCTGGGAAGGAAGGAAGTTAGGAGTCTGTGATCAGGTGAGGGTGGATGGCAGGTGGGAAGGTAAGGGGGAGGAGCACAGGCCTGTGCAGGGCATAGCCCAGGATACATGCAATCATCTGTCTGCAGCAGCTGGTTTTAAGCTTTGGAGAATGGGGTGATGGCTGAGTCCCAGGGTGCATGGGGAGGCTGAAGAGCGAGTGAGCACCAAAGGAAACCCGGAGGAAAAGGAGCTGCTACTGGAGAGAAGGTCTAGGGGAAAAGGGGGCAGAAGCTGGGGCTGGAGCTGGGGAGGGTGGGGGAAGAAATCTAGATTGAATTCTCAGTCACAGCTGCATGGCCCAGGTAGGAGTTCTCAGTGCTTGTGTCTTCTGGGCAGCATTCTTGCCTCTACTGCTGGTTCTGCAATGAGTGTACCAGCCTGACCTGGAGAGAGTGGGATCTAGGGCTCAGGCTGGACCTAGGTGTCCAGGGCCTTGAAGCTCAGCCAGCTCTAAGCCTCAGCCATGGAGCTACAGCATAGAGAGTCTCCCTGGACACTCAGGACAATAGAGACAGGGAAAGAGAGAAATAGAACCAGAGAGAGTCCCCATGGATATGGGGAGGCAGGCTCAGGGGAAAGGGCAAGGTAGATAGGGCAAGGTTGGGGCCTGGGAGTAGGGTGGGAGTGGGAAGGGCCTGTAGGTCTTAGCCCAGCAGGCATAAGAATAGCACCTAGACTAGGCCAGCTAGGGAGGAGAAGTGACCCTTAACACTGGAGAGTTCACCCATCTTGTGATCTGGGGTGACAGGGATGGGTAGTTGGGCAGAGGCTCCCAAGCCAGTGCAGGAGGGCTACATCACCACAGGGACAGTCTGGGGTGCCCACTGAGAGGTGGTAAGAGTGGGGATGCAGTGCAGTTTGAGGACTCCTTGGAAGTGGGGGCACCTGCACCCCAGGTCCAGAAATGCAGGTAAGATTTGGTGAGCAAGTAGAGGAAGGGCAGGAGGAGGGGCAGGAGGGGGAGCAGGCTGAGAGAAGCTGGGAGCCTGGCCATGTAGGGGGACTCAGAGGAGGCATGCGAGGCTGAACTGAGTATACATCACCCACCCTGAATCCCAGAGGTAAAGCTGGTTTCACCAGCTGGAGGTGAAAGTGGAGAAACGTCAATCCAGATAGGGAGGACTTTGAGTGCCAGGCAGTTGGGAGCCCTGGAAGAGTTTACAGCAGGGGAATGACTTAGTTGGATGTGGGCTTTGGGAAGGTCACAAATTTCTGGGGAAGCTGTGCATGGTGGCTCATGCCTATAATTGTAACATTGTGGGAGGTCAGGGCTGGTGGATTGCTTGAGCTCAGGAGTTTGAGACCAGCCTGAACAAGAGTGAGACCCCATCTCTACTAACAGTAGAAAAACTAGTCAGGGCTTGGTGCCTGTGGCTCAAGTGGCTAAGGCACCAGCCATATACACCTGAGCTGGTGGGTTTGAATCCAGCCTGACCCGTCAAACAATGACGGCTGCAACCCAAAAATAGCCGAGCATTGTGGCAGGCACCTGTAGTCCCAGCTACTTGGGAGGTGGAGGCAAGAGAATCGCTCAAGCCCAGGAGTTGGAGGTTGCTGTGAGCTGTGATGCCATTGTACTCTACCCAAGGCGACAGCTTGAGGCTCTGTCTAAGAAAAAAAAGAAAGAAAGAAAAAGAAAAACTAGTCAGGCATGGTGGCACATGCCTGTGGTCCCAGCTACTCCAGATGCTGAGGCAAGAGGATTGCTCAAGCTCAAGAGTTTGAGCTATGATGCCATGGAGGGCACTCTACCCAGAGTAACAGAATAAGACTCTGTTTCAAAAAAAAGGCCTTGGGGAGCTGCTAGCGGCTGCAGGGTGAAAGGTGGTGTGGCTGGAGGCTGGGGGGCCATCTGGGGACCTTAATGGCCCTTCAGTACGAGTTTGGCTTAGGACAACGTGGTAGAGCAATGCAGCCCCCAAACCTCTGCCTGTGTAATCTTCTACAAGACTCTCCTTACCCCTTGGCTTCCTGGGAGAGTACCTCCATGTCTGACTCCACTGGGACCTGTCACCACCTTGGGTCCCTTGACCAGGAGAAAGGGCTCTTTGGGCAGCAACCCTGACTTCTGGTGCTTGGAGGCACAGATGACCCCAGTTTCTGCCCCCCCCCCCCACCGAGCTGTATGGTCTGAGGAAACCCTGTCCCTGATGAGGTTCCTCATCTGTGAAATGGGGCAAAGGACAAAGGAAGCTAGTATGTATTAGGTGGGCACACACCTAAGGTACTTACTGAGTATGAACCTTCCCTATCCAAGGCAGGGCCTTGCCCCCACCTTCCCTGGGACAGGGGTGGGTGCAGCACTAGCTAGATCATCTTCACAGTATCCTTGTGCTGGGGACCAGCCCCTAGGCCAGGTGCTGAGGTGCACTATAGAGACAGAGGGGAGTGGAGGCCAGGATGGACGGCTCCCTGCTGTATGCTGCTAGGTCTGAATCCAACATAGTCTCTGAACCCTGGCGCCAGAGGAGGATGATGACCTGTGGCCAGGGTGGGGCTGATAAGGCCCCCATCAATCACCTGGGTTTGTTTCTCCCTCAGCAGGGCCTCCTTCCAGCTGCTCTGTCGCCTCTAGGAGTCTTGAGGAAGGTAGGCCATAGCTGACCCCCAGACAGATGCCTTACTGGGGAGTGGGTGAGGGTCTGGGCCCTGCCTATCACAATGTCATTCCACCCCAGACAAACTGAGGCCTGGGGAGGGGCAATTCCTGCCTGGTGTCACCCAAGACTCAGGTGCTGGCTTTAGCTGGGGCTCTGTCTTGGCACCTGGGAGGAGCCCCGTGATTGGGCTGGGGGCTCTGCCTCTGGGTAGTCTGTGATTTTGGCAAGTCCAGACCTTCTTTTGGCCCTGGTTCTCTAAGGGTAAAGTGAAACCTCTCTGGCCTGATACCCTCCCCCACTATGGCCCAGTTTGCACAATGGGGTGGGTGGGAGGTCCTGGGAAATTTCCCTCCTCTCTCCTAAGCCCAGCTTAGCTGAAAGCCAGAAAAGCAAACACAGCCAGGCTCACTCAGGCTGGAAGGGGGTGTGGGTGGAGGCTAGCAGGGGTCTGGGTGCAATGGGTCCTGGAGGGGCAGAGGCAGCCTCAATTTAGCACCCTCATCCTCTTGGGACCCCTTCCCCACTCCTTGTGGGGGAGGGGCTGGAGCACACTGTGGTGAAGGTGACGGTGGAGAGGGGAAGATGCAATGGGTGGGAAACAGGATTGGGAACCCCCCATCCCCTGGTTAAATATAGACCCTAGGCTCCTCCCCTGTGGGCTGCATGGCCCTGATAAGCAGCAAGCTGGCCTTGGCCTGTGCCCTCAGGCCCTACACTGCTTCCCTCGAGCTCTGCAACACGGACACCGACACCCACGGAAGGGTGTCCCTTGAGGAAGGGGGTTGGCAAAGAGCAGGGAGCAGGCCCCCCTTTTGACCAGAAACAGGCCTTTTAGGCTGAAGTAGGGTGAGCTGAGGGCTCTGAAGGATGGGTAAGGGACTGTAGGGGTGGTCGGAGGATTTAGGTTTTAGGACCTAAAGTCTGGGAAGTCCTGGATGTAGTGGCTGAGCCCTGTCCTCAGGTGTTGTGAGCTGTGGGGTGGGTAGGGTGAGTGGGAGGTCCTGCATGTTTAATTAGTCCTCCAGTTCTAAGAGGAGGGTCTGGCATGGGAGACGGAGTGAGGGATGGGCACGTGTGGGAGACCTTTTTTGGTCTTAGAAAGGGTCCTGATGTAAGTAGCCTTCTATATCTCAGTACCCAGCTGAGCTTGGCACATAGAAGGTGCTGGCCAAGAATATTGTCTAGTGACACTTCCCTTTTTGATAGCCTGAGTGTTGCCTCTTCTGGGAAGCCTTCTCTGACCAAGACCTGGGTCTGGCCAGGGCCCACGCAGCTGGCACAGGTTTCCGAGCCTGCTCCCAGGTACTGGGCATCCTCCTGGCTTCCCGCCTCCTCACCCCCACATCTCCTGCTGACCAGATGCCATCACCGCAGACAATGACTCCTGGGCTGGAGCTACAAAGCCCCAAAGAAGCTGAGGAGCCACAGACCCCAGCTCAGCGCACCCGGCGGACAAGCAGCAGCAAAGAGCCCAGTGCCCTTCATGATGACACCATGAGGCCGGGCCTGGGCACCTTGAGGCGTGCCTTCTCCAGGGCAAGCCAGCGGGCCTTGGCTCAGGTCTCCAAAGAAGACTCAGGGCTGCTATGGCGAAGGTCCTACTCCCTGTTCCGATCCTTCAGGCGCGCCCTGGATGAGGGACCAGCTCCTGGCCAGTCCCAGGTTGCTATTATGCCAGAGGTGTCCTCAAGGGTCAAGGATGGTGTCAGCTGGCAGGCATCTTCTGGGGTGGGGCCCAAGGAACTGGAATCCAAGGCAGGTAAGAATCTCACAAACAAAACTAAGCATGAAAAGAAACTGAGCGAAGACTTACTGCAGGCTCTCCTCCCCAGCTCCCCAAACCCTGCCCCCTGGACAACTGCACTCTAAATTCTTCCAGCATCTCAGTAGGGGGAGTTGCCATTGAGCAGAAGGAGAAAAGAGTGGCTCAGAGGGGTTAAGTGACTTGCCTCTGGTCTCACAGCCAGGAAGTGGAGCATGGGCTTTGAATCCATATCCTCATGACTCTAGAGCTCTAGCCTCTCCATGTATTTTCACAGCCCGGCTCCTAGTCAAACTGGGATGACACACAAGGCACTGGTCCTCTCTAATCACAGGGTCTCAAAGGTGTATAGGGTCCATGGCTACCTAGAGAGGAGCTCAGGGGGCTGCCCAGAGGAGGATGCATTGGAATTGGGCTCTAAAAGTGGGGTGGGGGTAGAGGTTGAGGGCTTTGGAGGATAGGGGCTGGCAGAGATCAGGGAGCAGCAAGAAATGTTGAAGCTGGACACTGGGGCAGGAGCATTGCAGGACACGCCCAACTTGAGCTCTGACCTTATTAGACCTGTAATCAGTGCTGCACACACACAGGAGGCTGCTGGTATGGGGGTGGGGATGGGAGAAAGGCAGAAAGTAGGGAATGGGGGTGGGGAAGAAAGGGGGAGGGGTGGGAATCGGTGACCCTGTAGATCCTTGAATGAACCAAATTTTATAGAATATATCCTTTTAATACAGGAATTTGATCTGGGAAGTTTGGATTCGATCAGGGGGCTCAGGAGGGCTACGTGTGTATGGCTTTGAAACTTCAGGTTCCTCATCTCTGAGTGATTCTGAGGGAGGGCTCCTGGCAGTTGGGGGCTGTTGCTTCTGGAGTGGGCCTTCAGTAGGACTCTAGGGTAAAGGAGCAGAAGCCAGGCAGCCCAGCCCCGGATGAACAGAACGGGGGTCTACACATCTTCGGACTGGTGTCCTGGGGTGGGCCCTCTCACCGCCCCTCTTCTCGCCTGCCCTTGCAGAAGGCAAATCTGTGGCCGACCTCATTACTGAACGGCAACTGCTGGCGGCCTTCGAACAGCTTCGGCACCTAGAGACGAGGCTGGTGGCTGAGAAAGCCTCGCATACCTTTGAACAGGACCCTACGGCCTTTGCTCGGCGCGCCATGGACTTATGCCTACATTACGATGGTCTAGCAGCAGAGATCGGAGCCATCGTGCGCGAGACGCTGGGACCCGACGGTGTGGACGCTGCCGTGCTAGCTCAGGTAGCCCACGTGGTGCGCGCCGAAGAAGAGGCCCATCCAGCGTCCCCTGCTGACGGAGACTTTCTGTGTACGCCCCGCCGCTGGCGCCAGCACTGGGAGGAGGCCGTGCAGCGAAGTGCGCAGGAGCGAGTGCGGCAGGCGGGAGCTGGGGGTACATCTGGGGCCGAGGAGGGCTCGTCGGGCCTGGCCCAGCTTCTGGCCCAGCTTGGTGGGTTGGTTCGCCACGATCTACAGAAGGTGCGGCTGGAGGTGCAGCCGGCGTACGCAGCAGCCGGCTTTCCAGCATGGGAGGCCTACCAGAGCGCCTTTCACGGCGCGGTGGCCCAGACCCTCCAGGAGCTAGCGCAGGACGCCCATGGCTGCGAGCAGCTCTACCTCCTGCTGGACTGGGCTGCCAACGTCTATGGCAGGTGAGCCTCAGCCAAGGCGCCTAGGGGCAAGGATGGGCTGGCACTAGGGCCTTGTTGATCTGCTTTGAGGAACACAGAGCACTCTTTTCCTCCTTCCCCATCCCCTTCCCCTCCTTTCTTTTCTCCTCCATCCTTTCTTCTTCTTTTCTCCTCCTCCTTCTTTCTTCTCCTCCTCTCTTTTCTTCTCCATTCTTTTCTCCTCCTTTCTTCCTCCACTTCCTCCATTTTTCTTTTCTCCTCCTCCTTCTTCTTTTCTACTTTTCTTCTTCATTCCCTCCCTGGGTGGGGCTGGGGGAGGGTGAGAAGTTAACATTCCTATGCATTCTAGGTGGTGGTGGGCTGTTACACCCCAGATTTTCCTAAGGGATCACCTGCGCAGGGGTTCCCAAAGTTTGAAAGCCTCCATGGAGTGGTTCTCAATGGAGCAGAAAGCCCAATTAGAGCCCAGGGTGGTCCGCAGTTGTCTTTGAGCAAATCAGAGAAGAGTACCTTTCCAGGCAGTACCCAATGTCGGCTCACAGAGCTTGGTCTGTTTGCCCCCACTTTCCCCTTTGGATGGACATCTAGGTTCTGGGTGCAGCCTATTGTGAATTTCCACCTCTAGCTCTACACTGTGATTAGGGCGGATTATTTTTATTTTTTTGCAGTTTTTGGCTGGGGCTGGGTTTAAACCTGCTACCTCTGGCATATGGGGCCAGTGCCCTACTCCTTTGAGCCACAGGCACCGCCCAATTAGGGTGGATTATTAAACCCCTGAGTGGTCTGCAGTCCCTCAGGCAGGAGCGTCTATAGAGGAATTCAGCCAGAGTCCTGGGCTTCTCAAATTGCTGTGCCTCTGCCCCTCTCTGGGGTGCCCTGGTATAGGCTGGATGGTGGCTGGTCCCTAAGCCATGGAGTTTGGGGGAAGGGAGCATTAGAGCCCAGTCTTGAGTGTACCCAGACCACAGGGCAGTTTGGTTGAGGTCCATCTGGACAGCTGTCCTTAAGCAGTCTGCACAGGCACAGTTGGTTGCTAGAGCACCAGGAAAGCCAGCATTCAGAGGCTTCTGGGGAGGTGGGATAGAGGTCTGGAGGCAGTGGGAACAGAAGTCCAGGTTTTTGGCCCTTCTATGACCCCATTAGACTTTGAGCCTGGAGCCAGAACCGGGTAGTGTCTGCCACATGGGAGCCCTGCCCAGGTCCTCAGTGGCCCCTGCCCTGCCTTCCAGTCCTGACTTCCTGGGCTCCCCTGGCCTGGAGCAGCCCACGGAGCCCCTGCCCCCGCTTCTAGCACCTGATGTGTGGGCTCAACTGGAGAGAGACTACACTAGCTTCCTCGAGGTAAGGTGGGAGGGAGGGCAGTCTGGATGCTGCTGGGTCCGATAGGAAGGTGCAGTGCCCAGGGTCACGGTTGCAATGCTGGCGGTGGCTCATCCTGTGGCCTCTGGTGTGGGCTTTATAACCTGACTGGTGGCCCTTGTCCCAAAGGAGGGAGGACTGGATCCAGGAGGTAGGAGTCGTTTGGACCTCCCTGGAGTATCTCATGGTGGCCTTGCTTCCTCCCCAGACCAAGATTACAGGCTGCTTCGATAGCATCTTGGAGCTGGAGAAGAGTCGCTGGGTGGCTGCTGAAGCCCCCAACGTGCTGCAGGGCTTCTACCACGTGCCACTGTCCATCGACGTCCACATGGTTTGGGCCGGGAAGGGGGGTCCAAGGGGAATATGTTCAGGCCCTAGGCACGCGATGGGGACACCCAGAGCTATCATATTCAACCCTCATCATCCTTCTCCATTAGATGGGAGCCTGAGGCCCCACGGGAGAGGAAATCTGGGATTCCCTGGAGGCCTGGGGTGGCTGGTGGACCGTGGGTGCGGGGAAGTATACCCTTGGGCCTCTGAAGGCTGGAGCCAAGACTATGAGGCAGAGCTGGTGAGCCGGAAACGTGTCCCGGCCACCGGGTAGAGAACAGTGGGCTCTGGGTCAGGGGCTCAGACGCACGCTCAGCGTGAGGCCTCTCTCGCAGCTTGTGGCCGAGCACGTGAAGGCGGGCGGCGCTATCTCAACTGAGCTGGAGGCCACCACCCTGCAGATCTGCGCGCGGGCGCTCGGTCTCTTCGTGCCCAGGTACGGATTCGTCCTTGGCCGGGTTGGGGTAGATGGAGTGTCCTGGGCAGAGTGTGGGCAGTGGCCACCCTGTTTGCTTGGAGCGGTAGAACCCTGCTCTGCAGGTGGCAGGGAGTTGTCACAGGGCCAGAGTTAGGCTTGTGACCCAGGGGCTGGCGGACCTGGGGTCATAGCTCGGCCAGGAAGGACTTTGCGTACCCCGCCCCCAGGTTTGAAAAGGCTTTTCTGGAGTCGAAGGCAGTGAGTGAGCCACATCTGGGAGCCTACATTAACGCCTGCGAGGAGCTGAGGTGGGTGTCTGCTCTCACTCAGGGGCGGTGCGGCCAGCAGGGGGCGCGCAAACTCTGGGAACCCCGACTCAGCCCTTGGTGTGTGTGCAAGTGTGAGAGAGAGGGGGAGGCGACAGGGACATGAGAAGGAGGTGTAGCCCCAGGCCAAGCGTACTCTACCCCCACCACCTCCCACTGCAGACACATAGGCTGTGAAGGCAGCCTCAGCCACCTGAGGGCACAGACACTGGGCCATCTTGTCTGGGTTCAGATCCCAGCTCTGCCACTTGCTGGCTGCATCACATGCGACAAATCACTTCCCCTCTGTGCCTCTTTTCTCATCTATCCAATGGAGACAGATGTTCCTGAGGACTGTGTGGGCACTCTGTGCCTTAGAGCAGTGGTCTCCAACTTTTGTGTGAGCAGGAGCTGGGTTCATGGAAGAGAATTTTTCCAGACTGGGGGTGGTTTCCTGATGATTCAAGCACATCATATTTATTGTGTACTTTATTTCCATTATTACACTGTAACATACAATGAAGTAATTATACAACTCGGCAAAACACAAAATCAGTGGGAGCCCTGAGCTTGTTTTCCTGCAGCTAGATGGTCCCAATGGTAGCATCACCACGTCAGCTTCACCTCAGATCATCAGGCATTAAATTCTCATAAGGGGCATGCAGCCTATATCCCTCACATATGCAGTTTGCAGTAGGATTCTTGCTCTAATGCCGTGACTGATCTGACAGGTGGTGGAGCTCAGGCAGTGATGCCAGGGATGGGGAGCAGCTCTAAATACAGACGAAGCTCTGCTCACTCACCCACCACTCACCTCCTGCTGTGCAGCCCAGTTGCTAACAGGCCATGGACCAGCATGGGTCTGTAGCTTGGGGGTTGGAGATCATAGTTCATTTTGGCTGTTTGTGAGCCCTTGTGATGTGCCAAGTGCTGTTCTGGCCTTACCTGCCAGATGCATTTTATCCCAAGTGCAATATACTCATGTACAGATGAGAAAGTGGAGACCTGGAAAGGAAATACTGCTTGCTCATGGCCACACACCCAGTAAGTGGTAGACCTGAGACTTGAACCAGGCTTGCCTGAGTCCAAATCATGACTGTGATGAGGCACTTCTCTAACACCCTCTCATACCTCGTTTCAGCCCCATGGAACATTCTTTGTCCCTTGGTAGGTAGGCAGCCTCTAGCCCAACCCCTGATGGAACCCTTGGCTATGGGAACTGAGTATAACCTTACCCTCAGTTTTTCTCCTGGTGAAATAGGACATTGTTACTTTTGGGGGCAGTTGAGCCTTGATGACGGGTGGGTTGGTTCCAGGCATGGCAGTGTTACATTGTCCCATCACCAAAAGGGATGGAAGGTTTGTTTCAGAGCTAGGAGAGGGGAACTCTGCCAAGAAACTGGGCCACTATAATCCTATTGACCTACTCTTCTATGATTGGCTTCTGAAGCTTTGGTGTTGTCCCCTCACTTGCCTCTGTTTCACTGGCTACACATTGTGCAGCCCCAGGGGCTGCCCTTCACAGTATAGTCTAAACGAACAGAGCTGGCATGGTCCCCAACCTGCTTCCCCTTGCCCACCTCATCACTTGTGCTGGCCCCTCCCTAGGACCAGTCTTCTGGCCAGGTTTCCAGGAACCTTAGAAGAGCTAGAGAAGCCCTTGGTGGCTGCTACCTGTAGCTTCCAGAAGCACCTCCTTCAGGACTTGCAGCGTGACATGCAGGTGAATGGGATGGGCCTTCTCTCCCCCCTTTTCATGCCCAGCAGGTGCCCCTTAGTCCCTGGAGCCTGGGGACTCAAGTCACAGAATTCATTTACCCCAGGAGCCATCTCAGGGGTATGTGTTAGGGAGTGGGCAGGACAGCTAGATGAATTCTCAGCTGAGTGGGGATGGCTGGGAAATCCTTACCTTCCCACTTCAGACTTGATCTTTGAGTGCTCAGCACCCAAGCCCAGAAGGTGGGTCCAGTGAACCAAGTCTGGGTCTTTAACCTAGCCCCTCAAGGCTTTCCCTTGGCATACCCTAAGAGGACCTGGCTAGATCCTCAGACTCGAACCTCGTCCACTAGAGTTTGGGTCCTGGAAGGGGCCTAGTTACAAACACAATTTGTAACTAGAAGAGGGGATGGCACCTGGCAACCCAGTAGGGAGGAGTGTCAGGAGTGGTGCACTGGACTTTGAGGGAAGGGTTTGGTGGGTAGGGAGTATATATTTGAAGACTCACACTTCCCTGTGTCCCCAGCCACTCTTTAGGGTTGTGTGTACCAAGGGCTGGCTGACACAGGACACGCTTCGTCCCCTCATGGACAAGGTGCTGGCTTTTGCTCATCATCTAGAGCATGTAGTCCGGCCATGGGCACAGGTACAGCAAAGGGGAGGGTCCAGCAGGGGTCTGCCCAGGGCTGGGGCTGTGGACCTTGACTCTGGCCCTGACCCTAATCCTCCGTTGCCCAGGAGACTCTGCAGGAGGTGCACCGGTATGTGGTCCGTGAGTACTTGGTGCAGGTGCTGAGACCACGAGAGCGGTTTCGGGGTGTCGAGCGGGTGAACAGCTCCCAGAAGATGAACCTTGATGCCCAAGCCATCAGTGACACCTTCCAGGGCTTGGTAGGAGCAGCATCTGATTGCCCGAGGGATGTTTACCTCCTGGAGCACCCTGCCTGCCACCAAATTCTCATTTCTCCTTGGTCCTCAAGGGCCCCAGACAGGGAATGGCAGTCACCCAGTCTTAGCTGATAGAGCTTTTGGCAGAGCAGTTCTCCCCCATTGTCCATTGGACTAGGGAGGGGTTGGGCCTTCCTACCTGGTAGGGATAGGGCCATGCACAGAGGTGGAGGCACTTTATAAACAGTTTGAGGCATCTGGGGAAAGAGTGGGTGAAGGTATCAGTCTTACTTGAGGGTTGAGGTTTGAGGTTCACAGCCATGTCCTCACCTCACACCAGGAGCCCCTATAGCTGCAGCACCCACCTCAACCCCTATATATCCCTTATCTGCTGTGCTGGTTCCCCAGACTCAGTGTGATTCCAGGCAGAACTTTCCTCTGCGGGATGTGGGGAGGGGAGATGACTACTGTGTTGCAGATAAGCCTATTCACCCAGCTGTGGGGGATCCAGGTGGGCAGCGCAGGAGGGCTGACCATGTACTAATGGGGGCTGGAGGCAGTGATGGCAAAGGGGTTTCTGGGGCAGGTGGCCTACCTTACACACATCTCTGTCTCTGCAGGGCTCTGAGGCCAAGTGGCTGGACCAAGCCATCCCGTGTGTGGCCGAGATCCTGGGTGAGACATACAAAGATGACATCCAGCGGCATCTGGAGACACTCATCCAGAGCTACCCCGACATCAGGTTTGTTGGCATATGTTCCCCTACTCTATGTCGGGGCAGAGAGTGGTGGGGGCAAGGGGTCTGGTATTTGTACTTTCTGAAGAGTCCCAGTGGCTATGATTGGGTGGGTGCAGAAAGCAGGGAGGAGTGAACTTTGGGGCTGAGGAAGCCACCTGGGAGGTGTTGGGATTCAGGATTTGAACCTGCACAGACATGTGTGCCCATGAGCCTGCTGACTTCAGCATGGGGAGCAGGTGGTGGTGGGGAGAGGGGGAGAAGAGCAGGGCTGGGCCATCCCCTGTAGGCCCCAAGTGGGTGGGGCTAGGGGCAGAGGGGAGGGAAGGAAGGGTACACCTTTCACCCTGGAATCTCAGGGGTGAACCCCCCACCCTTGAGGACAAAGGCCTCTCTTGAAGCCCCAAGAATCTGAAACCTAGCCAGGAGGAAGGAGGCTTTGATCCCAGGATAGGTTTAGGGGATGTTGAGTCATCGAAGCCCTTAGAAATCCCAGCTCAGATCTCTCCTTGGTGTTGTAGATTCCAGGATGGGGAGTGTGCAGAAAGCCCCTGGTCCTGCCCCTTCCCCTTCCCCTGCCATGCTGTGCCATGGAAGAATTCCCTGCCCCTATGCCAGGCAGCCTGTCAGTCCTCTCCCCTTGCTTGGTGCCCTAGGGCTCCCCTCCAGGCCTCTTTGTGTTCCCTGGCCCAGCGGGGGGCCCCCCCCCGTCTCCTAGGGTAGTGCTTTATGACCAGCTTGGTCTTGGGGCTGGGAGACAATAACTCCTCTGGCCTAGACCCCCCCCCACCCCGCCATATCACTCCCTCTTTCACTCTGCGCTATTTCTTGAACCAGTTCACTGGTCTCCCCTCTTCCTCTGCATAGGTTCTTTCCCCTGTTGGGCATGCCCCTCCCCCAAGGTACCCTTGGAGGCCCAGCTACCATGCACTCCAGGTCCATTCTGCCTCCTCCTCTGTAACTCAGCCTCTCTGGCCCAGTTGCAGGAATGCTAGTGACTCATACTTCTTCCCAGCCCAGGGGTTTTCCCTGACCCTGGGCCTGGGGTGTCATGGAGGTACTGGGTCTGGAGCAAAGGTCTTTGTGTCTCCACAGGCGGGATCACATACTGGCCATTCTGGCCTTGCGCAGACTGGGCCGCCGTCGGAACCACAGCCTCCTGCAGCATGCCCAGGAGCTGCTGAAGGCTGTGGCCAAGGCAGTGAACTCAGGGGCCACTGGACCCCATGTACTCTTTGGGGAGATTGAGGTGCCCACCTCTATGGATGTGCTAATCACCTGCATTTAGAGCTCTGTGGCCTGAGAGAGGGCTGTCCTCAGGTGGAGGATCAGATACCCTCCTAAGGCACTGAGCCCTGAGCTAGGAGCCTAGGGAGTCACTCTCGGCCCTGCCCCCACTCTGAAGCCTGTAGTTAGGGAATTTTTGTCTTCAGCCAAGCAGGGCTGCTCAGCCAGAAGGAACAGCAATGATAAAGGAAGGCACTTCAGGCATTTGTGGGGGAGTATTTTGGGTCCTTCAGAGTTTCCCTTCAATACTAACCCCCGCTCCGGGGGGGTTTCCTGCCTGCCTAACTGTCCAATACGATCCCCCAGTCTGAAAGTAAAGGTCAGAGTATTTATTTAAAAATAAATGTCAAGTAAAATGGTGCTTCCTTAAGGAGAAGACAGGGCCGAGCTGGCTGGGAATGGGGAGTCTGCGTCCCCATATACCAAAGGACTGGAAGGCCCTCTGGTGACTCCATTTGGTGGAGGGTTCTTTTCTACTCACTGAACTGATGGGTAGACTGAAGCAGGTCCAGAGCTGGGAAGGCCCGGGCCTCGACCATGGCATCATGGGTCCATTGGTCTCATGTGCCAAGTCAGCCTTTTAGGCAGGCCCTGGACCTATGGGAGATAAGATGAGACCTTGTTGCAGCTCAAGTATTTGAGTTAGATGGGGGAGGGACTGGCTTGGCACCTGTAGCACAGTGGTTATGGCGCCAGCCACATACACCAAGGTTGGGGGGTTCAAACCTGGCCTGGGCAAGCTAAAACAACAATGACAACTGCAACAAAAAATAGCCAGGTGTTGTGGCAGGCGCTTGTAGTCCCCAGCTACTTAGGAGGCTGAGGCAAGAGAATCAATTGCTTAAATCGAAGAGTTGGAGGTTGCTGTGAGCTGTGACGCCATGACACTCTACTAAGGGCAACATAGTGAGACTCTGTCTCCAAAAAAAAAGATAGGTGAGAGACTTCCCAGTAATGAAAACAAAATTGTCAGGTTGCTCTAGGGAAAGTATCATTCATGGAGCGTTAGCATGGGGCATGACCTGCTGGTCTCAGTGGTGGAGGTAGGCTGCAAGGGCTCTGTGTACTTGTAGCTCCCTCTCCCCCATGGAAAGTTGACATTGAAATTTAGCTAGCCTGTGGGGTGAGGTTTCTGGGAAAGCCATTTGCATTGGCATCCTCAGGCTTGCCAGGAAGGGTGACAGCTGAGATGGGGCAACTTACAGGGAGAAGCTGAGACAGGTGTCAAATAGCTGCCCCTCCCCCAATCCCTCTGTAGCAGGCTGCCACTGTCTCTCTAGGCCTTGGTAGGTAGCTCCCTTCCTAGCACTGTGGACAGCTAGGGGGCACAGGCAGGTCTGCCCCATTCTCTACAACAGGGTTGGAGTGCAGAGCCAGGTCAGAATCTTGCTGGGACCTTGGGGTTTGGGAGTTCAGGAGTTATTGTCTTGTCTGGGAGCAAGTGCCATGGACAGTGTGCCCTGCCCCCTCATGGGTGACACCAGGGCTGGAAGCTGAGGGGTAGGGCAGGCAGGGGATGAGGGAGTATGCAGACCTCCCTGGGCAGGGCAGGAATGAGGAAATGGAGAGGTTGGGGTTCCCAGACTCCAAGGCTAGGGTAGGGGCAGGGTGTGTGTAATGCCAACAGTGGCAAGCTATCCTTATACTCATGGGAAAGTGGAGGATAGTAGAGGATGGGGTGGCCCTGGCATGGTGGGCTGGGATCCTCCCAATCAGGGCTACAGGTCGAGGGGCAAGTGGTTGACAGGCTAGTCGATCAGGCTCCCCTTTTCCTAGGGGAGGGGTCTAATGGAGGGGGCAAGTGATTGACAGGCTAGCCTGTCCCCTGCTTGATCCTACATATAACCTCAGGGGCCATGAATATCTTGATCTGGGTCTGGTACTAGACAGGTTCTCCCCAGGGAGTCTCTGCTACCCCTTCCCCACCTTTCAGTCCCAGGTGCCTCCCTGAGCCTCTGTAGTCCTAGCCCTGAATCTGACCAGTTTAACCCCACCTGAACCCTTCAGCAGGAGGTGGAGGGCCCTGGGGCTGGGCTTCCAAGCAGGGTTGTGGGGACAGGAAGGGGCTTTTGTCTTGGCTCTACCACTTTCCAGATGTGAGACAAGTCCCATTATCTGTGCCTCAGTTTTTCCAGCTGTGAAATGGGGGTACTGTCAGTGCCTCCTCCTGGGCTGAGGTGGGTGAAGTAAGAGCCAGCCACAAAGCCAGGGCCCTGGCTTCCCTGTGACCCCATGTTGCCAGGGACCTGGCCAGGCCATGGTCTGCAAGAAAAAGCCAAGGCCGTGGGTGCAAGAGTGGAGAACTGAGTGTTCAATAGGACCTGAGGGGGGTTGAGGTCACTGCATGGGGATAGTCCCCAAGGGAAGGCTGGAAAGAGGCATCCAAGGCTTAGTAGCCTTGGCCTCATGAAAGCTTCACATTGCAGGGACATTTGATTTAGGCTTGGACACAGGACTGTTTTCCTGAGGATTTCAGGAAGGCCCAGAGAGAGAAAGTTAGGGTTTTCCTGGCAGGAACCATGTGCACATGTATCCTTGCATCTCCATGCACAGAGTATGAGTGTGTGCCCATGTATGTATTCCTAAGAACCCAGAATGCCTAGGGGCTGGGGTAGCTTCCCAGGCCAATGAGACTGAGCAGGAGGCTGGATAGCAGCTCCTACTAAGGTGCTGCTAAGGAGGTTGGAGACAGAAGATGGACTAAGACCAGGGAACCCAGGACTGGTTCAGGCCCAGGACTCTGGCCATTGGCCCTTGGACCCCCAGGGGTGGACCTTGCCCACTCCTTCAGCCTATGAGATCCCGTGAGGCCTTGCAAAGAGTCTAGAGTGTTTCCTTGGCCATCTGTTGTCTAGGCTAAGCATGATGGGTGTTGGGGGTGTCTGGCTTTCAGCTGCTTCTGGAATTGGTTGTCTGGCTGTTAAGGACGTGTGTGTGTGTGTGTGTGTGTGTGTGTGTGTGTATTTTCATGGGATGTGCCAGCCCAACAGCACCCCCAGCACAGAGGACCCCTATCCTGCCTCCCTGCTTTTCACATGGAGCAGAACAGCCTGGGACTAGCCTATGTGACCCTTAAGCTTGGATTACAGCCCTGCAAGCTATTCCTTGCTCCCAACCTCTGGCCATCTCACCCCTGCTGTGACACCCACTGTTCCTCCCTCTTCAGGGCTCAGTGTGGCTTTCCAATTGCTACCCATTTCCTGGGGCTTTCATGTACTGAGGGTGGCCCCTGGTCTCTGTCCCTGAGCTTGGGGTCCATGAGGCAGAGCCTGCTCAGTGAATCTTCTGGGGGCTCCAACCCAGGCCCAGCCAGGAGAACAGCAAGAAGGTACAGAGGCCCAAATGTTCAAGGCAGGTGCTCAGGCTGGCAGAGGTGATGGACTGTATGTGTGAGTGGTCCAAGGACAACATGTGTGGCGGGAAGAGGCAGCTTGGGACCTAGCAGCCCTCTATGACCATCTTTCCCTCCTGGTTACTTGACTGTTGGTCCAGCTCTTTTCAGAGTGTGTCATGTTTGAAAAGCCCACAAGGCTGAGTTACACAGGACTGCATTTGGGTTTTAGCTTTGTCCTCCTCTAGCTTGTAATCTGGGCTTAATCTTGTTTGTGATGTGGGAGAGAATGACCAGTAGGGAGGGAGCTTGGGGGTAAATGAGACTGTCCGCAGAAATCCCAGCAGAAGGGCATGTTGCAAGTGGCAGTCAGCGTGTTACCTTCATGCCTGTACAGCCTCTCCCTCTTCCTTCCTCGCCTAGTGACCCCAGCCCCTTCCTTCCTGGCCCCAGTCCTCAACAGGCCCCTGTACAAGGGGCAGCACCCTCAGCAGCTCAGTCAGTGGATCCTGCAGGGCATCTCACCACTGCCACATGGGAGGGGAGGCTTATAGGGTTCCAAAGCTTCCCCCTTTCCTCACTCTCCTTTCCTTCCTGTGTGAACTGCAGCAGGCCACAGGGGTCTGCCTGCCAGTTCATTATTGGACCTGGGGGGGAGGGGCCCAGACTGGGCTGTCCCTGACTCACTAGTGGCCTTTTCCCACCTACCTACGTGGAAGGCTGTGGTGTATGCTGCTGGCCACTGGGATGAGACAGGGCAGCTGCTGCCAAGGGTGGACTCCACAAAGCTCTAGATATGAGGGATCAGATCCTGCTAGGCCCCGGCCCAGGCCCAGCCTTGCAGAGGCAATTGTGCTGGAAGCCAAGAATTTCATGGGTGAGGGCCATTAGGCCTGGCCTCCTGGGCCTCTGCTTGTGTGAAACACTTGGCAACAACTGAAATTTGGACAAGTCGTACCCACTCCTTAGTCCACTCTCCTACTAGGACCTGGGGAACCTACTGCAAGGGTCTACTTGCGAAGACCTTTCATCCTTCCAGGAAGGCCATACTTCTGTCTGCACATATGCCTGTCCACCTATTAGCAATTTCCGAATTTAATTTGTTAAATGTTTTTATTTTTAACTTTAATAATGTTTTATATAGTAACACATTCACTTAAATCAAAATTTAAAAGGCATGAAATAAGGTAAAAAGTCTCCTTATTTCTGGTCCCTCTATCCTAGTGTTTTCCAACCTTTTTTTATTTCATGGCACACTTGGACCTATTGTTAAACTTCTGTGGCACACTTAAATTATATTGACCAAAAAAAAAAAAAGAGTAAAAAATAGAATATACTTATTGTGCTTTGTACTTCTTTCAAAAATAATGAATGATCTTTAAAATTTTTCACGGTACACCTAAGATCCTCTCATGACACACTAGTTGAAAAACATAGCTCTATTCCCTTCCCCAGAAGCAGCCAAGTTTCCTTGCAGGACACTTGGGTTTATAAAAAGCAATTCTTACTTGAGGAAAGTATAGCAATAGGGAAATGTTGGGCATTGATGAAGAACTTGTTTTGCTGGAGATGGGGTATGGAACAGTCCTCTTGATTCCAATAAAATCAAGTGATGAAGAACCCAAGGCTCTTAGATGGATAGAATCCCAAAATAATGGGATCTTAAGATCTTGAGGAGAGAGAAATGTCATGAGAAATCCTGCTCTTCATGGAGTACCCACCATGTGCTGGGGTCTGCTTGGTGATTTACAGCATTACAGCTTCCCACAGATGTAGTGCAGTAGTTAAGGACCAGCCTCTGAATTTAGACATCTCTGGGCTACAATCCCAGCCCTGCACCTTCCTAGTTTGTGTGACTTTGGGCAAGTTACTCCACCTCTCTGGACTCTGTCTCCCAGTGTAAAATTGGAAGTATTACATGGGAAAACACAAGCTTTGCTGTCAGAGGAGGGTCTGGGGCTTGGTGAGCATCCCCTACCTGTTCCAGTCATTGTTATTTATGTGCACTTCCTCCTTTAAGCCACC